TCGCGACCAAGCACTCTCGTCATCGCCGCGGAGTTTTGTCACCGCTGGAAACGGTTAGGTCTCGCGACCGATGTTGGTACCGATTGCGATCAGTTTAAGCGAACAAGCTGCACTTCTTGGGATGTAGGGAACTCTTTTATTATTTTTTTTTCTTTATCTCTCTCTCTCTCTCTCTCTCGCTTGCTTTTTTCCTTTTTCTCTTTCCTCGTCTCTTTCTCGCTTACGCGCGGATGTCACCAAGTCCGCAGCCGCGAACGCGCTTCGCTCCGGACTGCCGCTGGAGAACAGGGAAGAGGAGCTGCTACCGCGAGGGGAATCAATACCTCGGTCCTTGTGGTGGTTGAAGGGGGATTGCAGGAACGAGCGGAGGCGAGGAGGAGCGGAGAAAGCTGTGATAGCAGGGGTGGGATGCCGTGGAAGGGAAGGGTGGTTGGCACTGGGATGTCGGTGGTAGTGCCCGCGATGTGAGGTGGGAGAGCTACACTTCGGAGGCGAAACGAGGTACGAGAGAAAGGGGTGGGATGCACCATCGGAGATGCACGGGGGGAGAGAAACAGGCGAGGGGGAAACACGACGCGTTGCACTGATCGACGCTGACAGCCAAGTTGCTACGCGATGATTGTTACCACTGTCCCAATGACGAGTATACGATTCGAGAGAGAGAATCGAGAGCTCGAACGAATTTCAATAAATGGAGGTCAATTCCTCTACTTTTTCCTTGAATGCTGTCTCCTCCAGAGGCAGCTGGGTTACTTTTCTGGAGCCGCGTCCTCGAACGAATTTATTTCCGAACGTCAAGGATGGCGGCGAGAAACTTTTAAGCGGTGTTATACGAGAAGCTTTTTCGATGCTATTCTGCCTTTACCTATCACTTTGCAATTTTCTCTAAAGGATCGTTATCATAAAATTTCAGAGTTTTGTAAAATTAATTTCGATACTTTTCTCTATTAAACTCTCCTTTTAATATATTTTTTTAAATTTCCCATAATCAAAATAAGATTATTTTCTGTAAGATTCCCGTCTTTAAACAAAGTAAAAATATAACTAGAAAAGAGAACAGGTGTAATGTTCAATTTCTATGTTTTAATCGCATTGACATTGTTTATCAAACGTTCTCCGAGGACGACCGAATGCGCGATGCGCCGATCTTTGGCTTTTATCTATACTTGGATCTTTTATTCGCGTTTACCGTCGTGTATTTCGTTTTCGTCGCTGTAAAGGGAATCAAGGAGAAGGGTATAAAAAAAATAATCCTACGCGGATTATGTATAACGGGTTGGCGCGCATGCGAGCAACGTGAAGTTTTATTGAATTTTACAACATAGTTCCTCGCAGCGGAAGGCGATAAGAAACGTCGGTGCCGTCAGTGGAGCGTATCGTCTCTCGTATCGGGACAATACGGTCCGTTTGATTTATACGTGCGGATGGTTGAATTAGATACGTGCTAATGTCGATCGCATCGCCCGTCGATCAACGATCTTTTCGATTCGCAACTGCGTCACTGACGGGACGCGACCGTGATGGGAAGGATGAAAAACGACGCTGAAGAATCAAAGTCATGAAAGATTTGCGCGCGTTTTGCGCATGCACCTGTTGGCGCAAGCTGCTGCTCGACTTGTGCAACGATGCAGAGGTGCTCGATTCTTATTTACTCTCGCTCGGCCCGCTAATCTCGGCGCGACCTATTAACCCTTAGACGCGTGTCTTTGCGCACAAAGTGCCGCAAAAGCCCTCGACCTTTATGAAAGATTGTTATATTTCGAGAGAGCTACTAATACATTTCCCGAAATACTTTTCTGAATCTTTCTCTTACTTGTAGAACTTGTAACGTAAAATTAGAATAATTTCTTGTAATGGGGGGAGTCCTTTAAATTATTTCAGTAGTAAAGAGTATTATCTCGCAATAAGATTAAGTTTTACGACTTTAATCACACTCTATAAGTTTAATTAGATTTCTATAATTAAATTTGAATAATTTGTTGAAATGGAGTTTCTTATTTTAAATAATAAAGAGTATCATCTCGCAATAGAATTAAGCTTTACAATTTTAATACTCTGTAAGTTTAATTAGATTTATATGATTAAATTTAAATATATATATATATATATTTATATCCAATTTAAAATCTTTTGTTTTAATTTATTCCTAATTAAAAAATTTTATATTTAAAATATTTTAAATACAGTACGCTAAAAAAAAAATTCTTGCATTACCTAATTAAAATTCTGAGAATTTTCTAATTGAATCTGTCATATTTCTAATTGAGATAACTAAAGAATATTCTAGTTCGCTCACTTTCAACCAGAAATTTTTCCCAGTATTAAAATTATATTAAAATGTCATTAACCAATTAGTAATTACAGAGCTGTATTAAGACGTTATTTAAGACAATCTTGTAAGAACGGACTATGAATACTGGGCTTCGATTCTTTTACGTATAACTGCCCTATGAAAACGTAATAGACTGAAGTGGCACAATAGAAACTGTTGTTTGACAATTGGTCGAGTAAAAGTCAACGTTTGCACAAGCATAACTAACAGAATCTTCATTACTCCGCAGTTGATTCTCGTAATGGGCACCATCGCGCAGCACACATATTACGTATATGTATATATATATATATATGCATGTCGCGACGGGGTTTGTATATGCATATATATGTGTACGCGGTAAAACGCGTTCAGATTCCTGTACACGTACGAACTCCACCCATTTCATGACCTCCACTTATCTCTGTGTATACATATATATCTCTAGACCATACACCTACACGTTTCTATTTGCGGTGCAAAACAACCGAGACGAGACAGGGTGCTTACTCTGTAAAGGGTTGCATTAGCGATGGATTCGAGCGGCTCGCGAGAACGAGACACAGGGTCAGTAGGTTATCGATGTTCCTCGGTCACACATAAACGCCCTTCGTACACAAGAGCGGATCATGCGCCCGCACAATGCACTCGTTGAAAGTTCAAGTAATTACATTAGCACGGTGATCCCCGCGAGACGCGTTGCGCGATTGCGGATGAAATAGAAGGAAGTGACACGCGTGATTCTTCGTCTGCCGAATTGTAATCTATAAATGGGACATTGCGAATTGATCGACACGTACATGCATTTCCGTTTCCTCGCGCTGACCTCTTTTGTAACGCCGTTACATGATAGGCGTGGCCAGTGCGAGAGCGCAATTTGTGCATCCGGAGGTAGTCCGAGAGTTGCGCAATTTCTCGTAACTATTAGGAGCGGAAAGTAATTCTAGGGCGTTGTGCGAACGTTTGCGAAATGTACCTGCGTGTAATACGTCACATTGATAGAAAAAGTCAAATGTAAAAATGTAGAAATATGAAAAATTCGAAATTAATAATAAAAAGATTAAATATAAATTTTCACAATTCAACCAATAACAATTTAAAAAAGACGCAATTTAATTAATAGGAAATTATAATATATACGTTGGAAAACATTCTGATCATATCAATCAGAATTTTAATCATCATAATTAGATATAATTATCTCAACTAGAATTTAATAGATTTAACCAGAAAATTCTGATTTGTTCATTTTTAATCAGAAATTTTTCTCAGTGTAAAATTTATTATATAGTTATAATTAAATAAAGAATGATAAGATTAATGAACGAATTAATGTCTACGAGAATATAGTATAATTTACAGAACTGCTGAGAAGATCGTTTCATATTCAGAATTCATTTATAAATCATATTCGCAAAGAGATTTGTAGAAATCGTATTTCTTTCGTCTCAATATGAATATAGAACTAGTTATTGAAATGCACAAGATGCATTTGTTTTAATGTAAAAATAAGTTCTTATCTACCTCGATTTGAAGTAGTTTTACAGTCTTCGGGAACGGTTGCCGCCATCGCTCATCGATTTGAGCTTTCGCAAGTACAGCTGGGTACTTCGTTCCATTTTAAATTACAAATGGATGGTAAGAACGCGAGAGAAAAAGAATCTTCTCAAAGGGCTTTAAGAATAATGCGTCCGCGCCACGTCGCAAATACGCTTTTGTGGAAAGTTTTGTGTTGTGTGCGCATGCAACAAGGGCAAGAGATGAAAAAAAGCCAAGCAGCAATAAAAACCCATGCGATACTTTTTCGTTAGATATAAATAAAGAGAATAAAGGAAACCGTAACATTATTATCAATATATATTTAATTTATGATTTAATTCATGTTTTAATTACTATTTGTGAAATGACTGTAACAAAATTTGAATGAAATGAAAAGATGTAATTATTTCGAGAAACATTAAACTTTTTTGTTAATATTTTAATACAAATAAAAGAAAAACAAATTTACTTTAATTTTAATTTACATAAACAAACATTATAAAATATATTTTATTTTGTTTCATGTAAACACACATACAGACGTATATTCGTCTATTTAATATGTTACTTTCATCAGAAAATTGTTTTATATATATATAATAGAATTTATTGTATTTTATTTATTATATTTTAAATAAAATATTTATTTGTGTACATATACATATATGTATACATATGTACATACATATATGTATTAGTATATCTTCTTTATATTGTCTCACAAAATCAATAGTTCCAGTTAAATCAATAATCACAATCACGTTCCGCGGTCGATGTGCATTACCGTCTCGTATTTAATTAATATTAGAGTAGGCGCGTAATTAGATTTAATATTTAACACGGTACGCCCACGATTCTTAAGCGCGGGATTAAGTATTAATCTCCACAATGACTATTATCGATTACCGAAGTGAATTAAGAGATAATCTTTATTAATAATCTATGATGTCTAGCTTTGTAGCAACCGGCAACGTAAAATTATTCGGAACTGACGGAGATTCTACATTCTAGACGTGCAGAATATCAACGCAAGACATCCAAGTAGGTTCTCGCACGTATAGCATGAATACGAACTACGCTACAAAGGCATCGTCGAGTGGCACTTGGATGTATCAAGTTGATAAGGTCAACGAGTGCTTGGATAACTCACTTCGGAAGACGTCAAGTAGCAGAGCCTCGAGTCGGTGCTCTCCAATGAAGCTTGTTGAACGATTCCGTATCTGCCATCTCGGTCGGACATGTAGTCAGATCTGACGCTGTCCTGTCTGTCGAAAGTACCTCTGCAATATGTAACACATCCAATTGAATACCACGACACAAATGCCACAAAAGCATACGAGATAAACGTCATTCAATTACAGACACACTCTCTTTCTCTTTCGCGATAGCTTTCAATTGAAAAATAATTTTGGAAAAGTATATATTTCTTGATTCTTACAAAATTAATTCGTAGCAAATTTTTCCTACATTTCTCATAATCCCTCGTGCATGTTTTACTTTCAGCTTTATAAAATATTAAAGAGTAGAGAGCTGCGTAATCTCTGACGTTACACACAGGCAACCATTTTTTAATTATTTTATATATAGAGCGTGTTTCTCCATTTATATGATGAGATACAAATGCGATTGAGTTATATCAAATTCGATCATATCTTACTGCGCGATCAGTGAAAAATTTTTGTTAGTGTTTACACTAACAGTATATTGCAAAAATTATATTTCTAATGCTCCTATTTCTAATGTAAGGGATACTAATATTAAGATTAATAAAACCGTTTTTTTTTTACGACAATAGAGAGTCGAGATATGCGATAAAAGCAGGAGGGAAGCGCAGAGCACAATGAAAGTATGGAAGACAATGCGAACAATATATGGCAACAAAAGGTAGATGGTAGCGAATGAACATCAACTATAAGAACACTAAAGTACAAGTACGCATTGTGCCGAAAGACTCTTTTAACTTGTAACTACAGATATTTATATTTTTACTGCGTACTCACACATTTTTAGAAAATTAATAAATTAATTAATACTAGATGATTCTATATTTTTTAAATGCAATAAAAATCTGAATCATATGATAAATGTGATGTGAAAAATGTTACAGTTTAAAATTATGAATATGTTCGAAAATTATGAACATCTTAGATAACTATTAATGATTTCTTCTGTGGCGAAGCTAGTCTACGTGTCTACGTGTACCATCGCCGACGATTATACATAATTGAAAAAAGTTTTCAAAAAATGACAAATAATCATAAAATTTACATAGATATATTTTATCACCTGCGTTCATCGTACAATCACCAATCATGTTTGCACCATAAAATTCGCAATTTCTTCCGGACATCTTTTTTAAATTACTTATAGCTACAGGGAGAGTTGCTGCTCGTACAACTAAAAGTAAAATCCGATCAAAGAATCTATCTTTAGAATCTCGTGTTGAAATTTTTTCGAGGATCCCGCACGTAGATCGTCGATTCAATAACTTGGGCCACGCGTGAGGGATTTGTCTCCCTCACCTTTGCTCGAGCGAGTCAGTCCGGTTGGACTTGTAACCGCTGTCGTTGAGACTGCCCTCGTGTCTCAGGGACGGTAGAGAATCCCAGGGTGATTCTCTTTTGTGTCCCGAGTAGCCTGGATTTATCGAACTCGAAGCGCCGGAGCCGAAGGTCGAGCTACCCGACTGCCATCCGTCGGAATGTCGGAACCATTGTGCGCGCGCGGACTCCCCGATGCAGCTGGCGCATCTGCAAGTATCGTGCATCATGTAGATCATATGGTTATATATACGGTAACATCACGTAACTGTCGTATTTCGCGAAAAAAAACCCTTGTATTTGTATTTAGAAGCTCCGCTTCGACACTACGTAAATAGACACAAGTTCTTACAGTTCGAGTGACATCTGTGTACAATATCATTTGATAAATTGATACAAAAATAATTGCGTGAAAGGATATTTCACTTGTACAATTAATAGATTAATAGAGTAAAACGTTAACTAAGTACGAGATATTTTTTTCAATGTTGCGTTTCTTGTTTTAACGATATTTGACATATATCCGCAGAACACAAACTGCATTACATGATTACATCAATGTTATAATTTCCTACTCAATAATGTAACTATGTAACATGTGTTATATTTGTATTGTTGAGTGAGAAATTACAATATCAATGTAATGTTACTGTTTGTGTCCTATGGGTAAGAAATTCCGAGCTCGAATAACAATTTTTTATGACTCTGCCTTCGTGCCTCTGCTAGTATCATAAATCGATTGTTAAGAACAGTTAGAAACAGACTAATATCTCATTTCATTTGTACAACGATCCACTAAACACGAAGTAACAGTAACATACACAAAATGTTATAATTTCCTATTCAACAATAATTGCGTTAAGCAGAGAAAGCCTTGCAATTTGTAAAATTTTTTAATACGAGTGATCTTGTCCTTAATTGGCTTAGGGCCGATTGCACTAACATTGAACTTTGACTTTAAGCGAGGCTTGCAACTCCCTCGGTCTCTCTCTTCCCCTCTTTCGGCTTTAAAACAAAACAAAGTTTTCAAAGACAGTGTAGTCGAGCTTTATACATTTAAATCTAATGAGGAACTCATTAGAGATGCGTTCGGGGAGACACTATTAGCGCTATTTGTGTTATATAAACAACATGGATCTAAATATATAAGCTAATCAAGGACAAAAGGAAAGACCAACCATACTAAAGAATTTTACAACAATTGCAAAGCTGTTTTTTTCCACTAAACGCAACATTGTAACTATTACGTACAACGTGAGTTATGTCACATTTATATTGTTGAATGGGAAATTACGATATTAATGTAATGTTATCGTTATTTGTGTTTAGCGGGGAATTCTGTCGAGATTTCAAAAAAACATCAAAATTATCGAGAGAATTTATTTCGGCAAAAAGTAAACGCTCTTTTTGCCGAATCATCATTGCGTAAACAATATCCAAGTACAAGGGATTAAATGTGTTATCCGTGTTCTATGCACGGACGACGCGCAGAGTACCGTGCAGGTACGGGTGAGAAATCCGAACAGAGCACGCCGGTCTTCGTGTCGTCGTCCTCCTCGCCAAGCAGCTGGAACTTGACGTGCTTTTTGTTCCGCGATTGATCCCCGGCTCCATTATCTAGGATCCGGTAGAACACTTTCTCCGGCAGTTTCGGCATCTTCGGCATTTTCTTTGGCTCCCGCCGCCTCTCGAGCGATCTGTATTTGCGTTGATTGTAGCTCATTGTTGCGACTTAACTTAACTCCTCCTGACGTCAAGCAACGTTCACGTCAAATCGGATATATTTACACCGTGGATCAAGCTGACGGTGACGTCGATCAGCCCTGTAATTAATTCGATGTTTGCACTAGATAACGAAGGGATGATTATCGCCGGTGCGTCGAATGATTGTTTGCCGTTCGTGGCGAACAACGGCGAAACAATTATTTCCTCTCGTTCCGTTTTTCGGGCCGACCGACAATCACGCGCGGCACGATGAAATAATTATCGCATTCGTTTTCAAAGAATGATCGTTGTTTGCATATGGCTAAACGTACCAGCGCCGAAGTAATTATTACTTTCGTTCTCGCGCGACTGACAGCCGCACTCTTCTCGACGAGGCAATTATTCTCCTCGATTCTGTTTAGAAATTATATCCACCTGTCATTTTTTCACAGTGACAAAAATAAATGTCGAAAAATTGTCTCTTTCTATAATTAGAAATAACGACAAACATCTTATCCCGCTTCATTCGAGTTTCAAAGTTTTAAAATCTCAGTGACACACAGCGAGATAGATATCTTCCTTCCAAAAATATTAAAATGATTTGATTTCCATGGTGGTGTTTCCTGCTGTCATCAACGATTCACGTAGATTTACTTCCCTTCGACATTTCGCACTTTCATTCATCACCACCCAACTGCAATTACTTTATTAGTGATTCGTCAGCGACGTTTCTTCGTGCACCTATCATATTTATCAAAGATTCACGTGAACAACTGCACTCGGCGCATCACAACGCAACCGTTCCAACCACTACATTACATCTCGCACCAGGCTAGGACGACACGACGCGAGACGCGCGCAATTTCTTGTTGTAAAACCCCGTTCCCCGTTCCTCCGTCCGTCGAACGCAACTCGATGCACCGGAAGTCACTCGGCAGGACAATCGCGCGCGGGCGAGTCTCCAACCGTTTCTTCCTTTCGTCGGTGCTACCACGGAACACCCTTCTTCTTCGTTCTCACCATCCAGCTGAAGCCCACTCGCGGGATTTCTATATTTATCACGGTACGGCTCGCCACTGACAGCCGCCGTCGCTGACCCGTGATGCACAACGCGCCGGCAACCGGCGGGGATGATGATGCATGCATGCGCCGATATTGGCCGAGAGCGCTCTATCGAGAGGCGTACCTTCGATAGACCTCGATAGACACCACGCGACGCCCGTCGACGCGCGTCGCCTATCGATATCCCTCACGGCGCACGTGACATTCTTTTTTTTTTTCCTGCGCCGCCCGCGGGATATCGATAGGCGATACCACATCCGGTGATATTATCCAGGTCGCCCTTAATGGACGAGCACGTCTCATTGACCACCACCAGCGGCCCGCAGAGCGCAGCTCTTTTAAATGTCAAAGTCTCGCAACGGCGACTTTCGCGCCTTTTTCGATGCGCACCCTTTGGCAATCGAAGGGGCGATGGCTATTATCGGGCCTTATCGCGCGCGTCCGCTTTAATTAATCTTGTACTACTTGTGCGAGAAATATTTCAATGGGACAGGCGAAATGTGTCAATGAATCGATTAATTCAGATTATACAAAATTTCAGAAAATGTTTGAAAGGTAATTTCAATCTCATGGTGTGAGAATAATTAAAAAGTAATTAGAAGTAGAGAACCGTTTGGATTTCTATATAAAGTATAAAAGTGATTATAAAATCATACCTAACGCACGACTTTCAATAGATCCAATTACAGAGAAAGTATTTTTACTGAATATCAATGAGAAAATCAATGAGAAAAATAAGATTTCGCATATTTCATGTTATTTTAAATCGAACATACGTTTCTTCATTGATATACAACTTATACGACAAGGATTATACATAATTTTTACACGTAATGCTAAAGTAGGTATAATAAAGATTTTTTTTTTCTATAATATAATTTTTACATGTAAAAAATACTTTAGACTTGAGAAATCTTATTCTTTTATTCAACTAGACAATTATATTTGCATAGAAAGACGTGTGATTTATTCTTTCAGTACCATTCAGTTGAGTTCAGTTTTTGTTCAGACGAATGAAAGCGCGATGAATTAAGCGGAAGCATGAAATCCTTACAGTGCAAATGCTGATCTTAACATGGATTGGAGCGATAATTTACCTAGAATTGTAGTCGCTGAGATAGCCGCGATCCCGATCGAGGTCTCGCTCTCTCTTCTCTCTCACCATCTCGTTGCGATCACTGTAATAACCATCTCGGTCCTTGCTGTTCTGCCTTTCGTTGCAGTAGCGGTACGACAGCGGCAGGGTCGACGACTTGTTGGAATTGGAACCTGTAATCATGATAATTGGTTACGAACAAAGGATACGATACTCATGTATTTTTTCCATTCTCAGCATGCGATCAACTTACGTCTTCGTGAAGCGTGAGGCGTGCGCTGAACATTCAACGGTATGTTTTCCGCAAATTCTGAAAAACGTAAAGACTCTCGTTTTAATTATTCATGACAATATTTTACAATTAATTATTTCGATAGTTTCATCTTAATAAAAGCTGGAAAGGTTAAAGTTAAAGTGTAATTAATTCGTTCGCTTGAAAAGAACACGGGTCGGTAGGATACACAAAAAGACTATGTTCCTTGATCACTAGAATAGCACATAATTATCCTCCTGAAATTTAATTTCTTAAATGCCATGTTATACAGAGTCATTAAAAAGAAATCTTGCGAAATCTTCTGCTGAGAAGATTTTTGTTCTTTATTCTCTTATAATGTAAGTAATTTCACAACGAAATACACTTCTTAAATAAAAAATTCTACATCAAAGCGACGACTTTAAGTGATTGATAATAATTACTTGAAAAATAATTTTTTAAAGAAATAGAGAAAAATAAATTTTTATAATAAAAAAATGCATTCTTTTAGTATAAATATTAATTAAACTTTCCGTTTTCATTATGAATATTAATTAAGCTGCGTTCTAAGTCAGAGAGAATTCATAAGAAATTATTAAACATTTGACTTTCTCTGTCCAAGATAAAATCAAGTTCTCACCCAAGTTCTCCATGCTCTGCGTGAGTAGAGCCTCAAACGTGCGCAGGCTATAGCTCTCTGCGTCCATGCCCTTGGCAAGAGTGTTCCTGAGATGCATTTCGTATTCGAGGAGCAGCCGGCTGGTCGGGCTGCCCGGTGTCGATACCGACTGCATGCTCTGCTGATATGTCTGGCCGCCATTGCAGCGGCGGGAGTTACAGTGGTTTGGCTGCTCCATGTCGGAGTTGCCGTTCGACGAACTCGGCGTGGTGGCATAGCACTGGTTGTCGAAGATGACATTGTCCGAAGGCGGCGACATGTCACCTGTGCACCGATTACGTTCCGAATCTAAGTACGTCCTGCCTCTGCCGCCTGCGGGCAGAGAGGTGCAACCGAGAGTGCAGGATGTACGACGGACGTGATGAGACGTGCGGCGCTGATCAATGGGCGAGACGTGTCAAGTTAATCGGGAACGGCGAACGCGTAACCCGGGAAGCGGTTGGTTCAAGAATGAACCACGAAGTCGACGTGGAGCTGACAGGACAACCACGTTGTCTCCTAGTGCGCATGGTATGTAAGGTCAGGAGCAACAAAATGTTAGGGGGTGCCTCAAGAAGTGGTGGGTGACCCCGTGACTTTCATTAGAGTGCAGCCGGCTGGCTGCCGCATTGTGCGTTTTGTGCGCATGTTAAGTTATACCGAGGGTGTAACTAAAGGTATTATAAAGGTTATAGGGACTGATGGACGTCATAGGATCAGTCGCCGATTAGTTGTAGGGACTTCCTAGCGTTACGCATTCGCCAGTATCATGGGGTCAAGCAAGGGAAGAGACCACGTGCCAAGATCGATCATGTAATTGACGATGTGAACTTTGTCACCTTTTTACTTTTTGCCACTTTAAATCACGCCCGATTAAATCTTGTCATTTTGCGATAAATAATAATTATGTTATAATCTTTCAAAAAGTTGTGCGGGACATTTCGTATTTTTAGGAAAAAATTACGTGACCGATTCTTCTTCAATTGCTTTTAAACATTTTCCTTGTTGAGAACTTTATCCGAAATTCGTGATAATTTATTTTATAGATAATTATTTTTTAAATTTTTAAAAAATTTTAATATTAATTCGAATAATTTTATAGAATTGTTAATTAATTATCTCAACAATGATAACGTTACTCCACTTAAAAAATTTAACATATTTTAAATAACAAATTACAGCGTATAAAACTGACAAGATATTTAAACACTAATCACATTTCATGAAACTAACAAAATATTTAAACATTAATATAACACACACACACACACACACACACACACACACATTCGTTGATTCATTAAATCCAAATAGTTAAATATTATTATATCATAGACATTTATCAATTGCAAATGTAGAGTGAAAATTTAAAATGCCAGGGCGACATTGAAACGATTAAAAATTACCTAAAAAGATCACGAGAAGAAATTAGCAGAAAATCGCGATACGCAAGAAGAAATCGTACCGGATTGCCGACTCATGTCGTGGGCGCTTCTGGAACTCTGGAACTTGTTGTTGTAAGGCGCGCGATATGGATGCGCATAATTCTCGTTGTCAATCTCCTGCATCATGTACTTCTGATTGTTATTGCTCGGATGGTAGTAATAACTGTGGTGGCTGTGACGTTTCCTCGTCATCTCCGGCGACGTCACCGGGCTGTCGATACTCGGCATCGGCTTTAGCATACGTTTCAGGGTATTCGAATCCAGGCTGATGCCGCCGTTCTGTGCATTCTCGATCCGCATGTCGTCGGTGCTCTTGCTCTTCGATCTGTGACCGTGATTGTTGTTGACAATATTAAAGAGATTGCCGTTCTGCATCTCCAGTTCAGTGTAGTCGGCTGACTTGGTGTGATGGAGCTGTTCCTTGCGCAATGACTTAATTTGTAAAGTGCCGCCGGCCTGGGTGCCTTCTGACTTCAGCATCTCGATGCCGTTCTGCTGCGTGGACGTGTCCTGGCTTTGCTTCTGTTTCTTCGGCGATATCGTAGAACTTTTTTCGTCTGGGCTGTCGATCTGTGGAATGGATAAATTAATAAGCTCAAAATAGTGTTTCTTGATTTTGATAATGGATATGATTTATAGTTGAAGTTTTTTCATGAAATGTTTAATTATAATAATAAATAATAATTAATAATAATAATAATAATAATAATAATAATAATAATAATAACTTTATTTAATCCTTCAGTGCCATTTTCATTATGGCATACCTGAGATTCCTTTTGCTTTCCTATGCTATAACTTTTTTATTAATAAAATTATATACACGGAAATTATAACAGTTAAATATTTTCTGTTAAATTAACATTTTGCTCGAAATACCATCAAAGAAATAATATTTCATTATTAAAAAGATAATAAAAAATAAATACAATTCTTCTAAAAAGGTTTCATACCTTAATTTTTTTAACATCATTAAATTAAAATATTAAATTATTTAATAGAAGAGTATAATTGAGATAACACAATTTAAAAAAAAAAACATCAATTTGTTTACAAATTTCAAATTTGTTAATTTTGAACGTAATGACTAATGAGGAGGATGCATATCGACGCTTGCCTGAGATCCCACTGTGACCGTTCCGATTCCAATGTTGGCAGTTTTTGGAGTCGTTTGACACGTTTCGTTCTGCTTCTCCTTCTGCTTGGCTGAGTCGCCGGCCTTTGGTGTTTTCCCGGGTGTACTAGTATTATTAACGTTGTCATAGAGAGACGCGCTGGATGTGGCCGCTGTTATCTTGTCTCGTCCCGGCGTCATGTCCATTTCTGTGGATCGCCCTATGGTCCGTGGAAGTGTAGACGCCCCTAAAATAGTATGGCCAAATTATAAATTATAATATAATTAATAAAATCATGTCTATTAATTTATGTTGCTATTAATTTATGTTGCTATTATTTATTTGCCACAACAAAATTTTTCAAAACTATTAAGATGTTCTATCTATCAAAATCAGATATATTTGTAAAACAAGTATGTAAAATTACATAAATAATATGTGCAAAAATTACGCAATTTATAGGGAAAATATATAAAATTGTGCGTTTTTACCAAAAATAAAACTTTTATCTCTAATTTTATTATTGTATAATATAAATATAACTTTATATGAAATAGAAAATTACACAAAAATAATAACATATTTTATAGTTTTTAAAATGTGTAAATTTTCATAATATTTATATAATATGATGGTATTATCATATATATTATATTTACATTTTACGTTTATATATATCGATAAACATAGTTTAAGAAAGATTGTACGCAATTTGTTTACAAATTATTATGTACTCAAGCAGAACAACAAGTTATTATAATATCAAAATGATTCCAAAATGACCATTAAAAATCATTTTTTAATCATTTCCGATTCATTTTAATATCATTTTAACATTATTATGACTTGTTGTTCTGCTTGGGTAAATATTTCCATAAATTTCAATTGTAATAAATTTATTTTTGAAAATTGTTTAATTATTATAAAAAAGAATAATTTGATTTGTACATAAGTTGTAACGTTACATTCATATGTAAATACGCATCTTTAATAGTGGTTCCTAAAATTACTCAATATAATCGTTGTAATTTTACATGAAAATTTTTTACAATATATGCATTATAATGAAAAATATATAATGAAAGAAAAAAAAGACACATTTTATAATTATTTCATTCCAAATAATACGGAAATGAATATATAAAGAAACGTAATATAAATATAAATATATTATAAATATGTAATATAAATATATTATAAATATAAAAAAATATTTCATAATCACACGTACCGCATGGACTTCGGTATCTGGTATCTTGGCTGCGCAGTCGGGCATATTGTTCCGGCGTCATACAGGTACACTGAGGTTCCCTGGATCGGCTCGGTGAGGCCGGTGTCGATAGCGGCTTTCGGCGTGTTTTGATCTTCTGCTTGTTCGGTGGCTCGAGCTTCAACGAGTAAGAAGAGGACGCTTTCCTTGAAATCTTGAACGATGGTGACTGTATGGAAAATTAACTAGTGACTGCAAATGACCTAAGAAGTCGAATGGGACTTGTATCGGACTTGTTGTGTGTCGCCCCTAAAGTATCTCCGCTCAACTTCCTTGCGCGCGACCCGGGAAGGAGGAAGGAAATAGGCGGAGAGACGCGCTGAGAGAGTGATAGCGAACAGGATTGTGGCGATGATGTATAATGTAACAAAATGCGTGTCTCAAGTGTAACATCACTAAACTTACGCAGCATTCTCTGAATTGCTTTGCGTCTATGGGAGACGTAAAGTTCAGCCCCCACGTATCATTTGTCACTGTATCCTTCCAGTAGACAAAGCACTCTGATGCTTGGCCGATACGCGTACCTTAAACACAATTACGTCATATTAATTATTGCAAGATTTATTCGTATTAAACTCCACAACTCTTGCCACCTTCAATTGTTGCGATATTATTCTGAAAGTAAAGTCAGTTTGCGAAGATAGGTACATCTGTGCAATATTTTTTTTACGTTGTTGTTCTTCCTTCTATAAAGAATCGAGATTTAATTAGAGTATCTTAAAATACATGTTGTAATTATGGCTCACCTGGCTGGACCAACCGCACGTCTAGAATCTTATCGACCTGGCTATTGTACGCGGTGATATGGAAGACGCATTCCGGCGAGTCTTGGATGCAGGTGATGTTCACCGGGACCAAATCCTCGGACACCTGCTGCCATTTACTCCCACCCCCGCTCGAGTTTACATGGAACACTTCGGCCCACAGCCTAAAAACTCTCGTCATTACATCGTGTATTACGCCAACGTAATTTTTCAAACATCGATACACTTAAGGAAAGTTCTAAGGAAAGAAAATAGTAGAGCAGGCGTGACACAAAAATGAGAAAAGGAACATGAGAATAGTCCATATAATCCAGAGTATTCGATTTTTCGCTATATATCTTTGTCGATAGTCAATACTACGTTGAAATTGCATAAAAATATTTCCGTATGACGTCGGTTGTTTTATTTTCAAACGGATAAAATAGAAATCATCACATGCGTCGGTGGAAAATCGCATATATATTACGTGCATGCTACATCTGCATTTACCGCGTAAACGTCTCTAGCTTTTTCTGCATTAAAATTACACGATCCGTAGATATATTTATTTTTAATTCCGAAGAAACGACATCCACTGAATTTTGTACATCAAACCAGTGGACGAGAAGGTAATGATACTAAAAATACTAATAGTCATGCGAAGCGTACGTGTACGGGTGAAGTGTATAAAAGTAGATAATATATATAAATATACGTGAAAGTGTGCATTTGAGAAGTATAAAAATGTAAAAACAACGTGGCCAGGGAAAAAGTATTCAAGGCATAATTTTTTTTTTTTCATCAAATGAAATCCAGGCTAGTAGCACAAGGCAAAAATAGCAGAAAAAGAACAGTTACTTCTGTTATCGAAACGTAAAGCGCGTTTTTCTTAGTGCATATTATTTCTCAAAAGCCCGTTCAGGAATATAAAAGAGAATATATCGAGATTGCACCAATATTACTTAAAGTTAATCAAGCGTATCACGATCCGAATAAGAAAAACGAGCTATCGGCCGTGATGAATGGGCTATCAGCTCGAATAACCGGACAAAAAACAAAAGAGAAAAACAAAAGGAAGGTGAGGACCAAAGACGTAAGCACCGTCAAATAAGACAGCGAGAAGAAAGCACAACGAGAGATAAAATTGGAAAAAAAGGAATTTAATAAAGAAAATATGAGACAGTCTGGGTGACGTGAATAAAACGCGACGTCTGATGCGACGTTCAGCTGCAAAGGTATATAGCTTCTCACTGTGCTACGAAATAATATATCAAGTACGGATCTTTATATACTGCATTTTTTAATAAACGCTTCAGAGCGCTTGCTAAAATAAAACCAATAATCATTAGAATAACATTGCACTGTTAAAAATGTCATAAAATTTAAAATGTACTTTTAAGTTACATAAATTAAATTCAATTTTTTGACACTAAATTAAATTTAATGTATCTGCAACTGAAAAGTATATTTGTGCACATGTACATGAAATTTAGTGTGCTTTCCATAAAATTTCACGATGTTTAGTATATTTTTTATTAAATTTTATGTAGATTTGCAAAAAAACGTTAAATTTAAATTACTAATTTTTATTGACAACATTAAATATTTTTACTGCATCTACTTGAAATTTGCCATTACATGTAACGGAAGCAAATTTCTGTTTTTTTAACAGTGCGATAAAATATACCAATTGCATTTGAAAAATTCAAATTAAGCTCTCGTGAAACTATTTTCTAAACAAAATAAATTTTTTTTAATGTTACGTTAGGTTTCTCTATATTGACAGGAAAATAAATGTTTAATTGAAGATCCTAAAAAGAGACACCGATACATTATATAAATGGAAACTCACTTAATTTCAATCATGTGAACGTCACGATCTTATGGCATGACTTTTTAATTGCTTAAATTGTTATCAGACAAATGTAACCATACAATAATAACACTATCTTTTTTAATATACATTTAATAAATTCTTATTTATGGAAAAAAAATTTTATTCTCATCGCCCACATGTTTTATTCTCATGCATGTTAAGAAATATCAACAACGAAGCAAAAAAGATAGAAGGAGAGAAGAACAGAGAGAGAGAGAGAGAGAGAGAGAGAGAGAGAGAGAGAGAGAGAGAAGGAAGAGAAAAAGAAAGAGGAGATAGAGACAGAAAGAGAGTCAGTATAATGCATACAAGGGGTGTATGGTAATCATTGAAGAGAAAGAGTGGTAACATGGTCGAATGGAGAGTGATTCAATGGTTGAATGGTATGGTATGCGCACCTCTTCCTGTCTCTTAAGCTTCCGCACCTGAGCAAGTGGCCAGTGTCACCCCTGCGTCCTCCGCCGCCGCCCATCCCGCCTCTGGCACCGGCCTGCCATGGGCTGTCCTCGTAACGATACGTCTTTGATCTGATTAGGGGTGCGCAACTGCAGGAGAGCTTGTTGCCCATTCTAACTGCTCTTATTCCGGCTTAGATCCCGCCACCTGCCTGCCCCGCCGCCACCACCACCACCACCACCACCGCTCTGCCTGCGTCACCACCACCCTGTACTCGTGATGCCCGTTCGTGTTTCCGGCTCGACACGCCTTAGCACGTATCCGCCCGTCCTGTCCTCCCCGTTCCTCAAGATATCCGGCCTGATCCTTCTCGCTGCGTCTATATATTTTTCCCTTTCTCTATCTCTCACGATTTCACCCCCTTCGGTTCCTCTTTGACACACTTTCGCGGGGCTGGCTCGTACGGCTTGTCTCTGTCGACTTTTGGCACCGATTTCCACGACGCCGACCACGGTCAGTGGTTTGACGTTGCTTTTTTTTGCGCGGTTTGATCCTTGAATTGTGTGTATTATTGGGAAGCACTGTGTGTAATAGAGACAATCCCAGAGTTCAGAGACAATCAGAGAGTGGAAGGAGGTATCTTTATTGTCACATCATTGCAGACATCGATAGTTATCAGCTTGTCCCTGGCATGATTGCTGCAAACAGACGCAAATCGATTAGCCGTGAGAAAAGTGTATTTCAAATAACACTAATTCGTAAACTATTTATTTTCGCATGCAAGAGAATTATTTGTCAATTATACTTTTAAAATATTATTTTTTTTTTGTTTTTATACATTATTTATTTATTTATTATATGCAATATAATATTTATTTTAATAAAATTATAATAAAATAAACACATATTATTCGATTTTATTGTATTTATGATATTATTTGCATCTATCAAATCAATAATGTATACTGTATACATATATTGCTTCTCACTTTTTACCTTTATTAAAAACAATAATTAGCTAAACTAAAAGTTAAATTGTAATATATTTATGAATGTAATAATCGCATACAGTTCTTTGTTATTATTCTAATTATTAATTCATTTGTGATATACTTTATAGTTATAATTTAACCTATTATTGCATGTTTTATGACATAAAATAATAGGTAATAAACAAGTTTTCAAACTAATATAAAATTATACTAATAGTAATATGTTATGTGTTTTAATTTCTAGTTTCAAGTAGTATAACTGACGTTATAGTCTGACTGACGATCCTGATATCCTTTTTCTTACACATAATTCAATTTTGCACTAATTATTTACAAAAATGCAGCTTATTATTTAATAGTAATATTTATATATGCATATTTATGGTGACAAATAGTTTCAAATCTTTGTAAATATTTAACTAATCGCATTTAAGTAGTAATATGTCTGACTTTGGTTGCATATAAACGTAAATTATTTATCGATTAAAAAATTATTCCATAAGAAATATTGTTTCCAAAGAAATAGAATAGTAATTTCAAAAATTATTAGTCAAAATTATAAATTTTCGTTTGTGCTTAATACGTAAATAGATGAGTTTTAAAACACGGCTGACCATACAGACGTCTTAATCACTTAGAAATCAGACTTCGCCAATTCAATTTACATAAGTTGTAAGTTTGTTCTCAAGTTTATTAACATATTAGCAATATTGAATTTTTCAGTAAACTAATTTATAACACCATGAATATCTATCAGCTTCAGAGATGCGTCGGGGATCAATTAAACTTCGGTAAACTAAACCCATCTCGGGCAAACTTTAGAAAGGATGCAAGCTACCACTCGCCGTATTCATCCAGGCTAAAATTTCTCGATGTTAAATAACCTTAGCAACATTCGCTCGTTAGTTTTTTTTTTTCATTTTCTCGCATTTCGTTCACGTTTCTTGCGACGTATACATTCGCGACATGCCATCGATTACAACGAGCACGATTTCATCGTAGCGTTTGGCCGTAATCATTAACGTCAGAGGGGAGGTCAACAACGCGAGGCATTGTGCAGATGTGTATCGCGGATAATAAAAGGGGTAGCGCCACCGGAGGGTTACGACAATGCCGAAGTATCCTGGGCTCTCGCAACGTTCATTTCGCAACATCCATCACGAAAGGATAGGGAATCTTCTGGATCCTCTGGATCCTCTGAAGCCGGATTAAAACATTCCTATTAGAGATATCAGTATAGTTGACAGTTATTTTCAACCGTGTTCTACATAAGTACAAAAATGGCACGCGAATGATCATTCCAGTCGTTAAAGATACATCTAGCGATCGTTCATCATTATAATATTAATTTTCTTGATAATTTCAAATGCCAATAGTTTCCAATAATTGTTACGATGGCTTTTTAACTCTCTAAGGAATGAATCTATAAATGTTGCGAATTTACAACGTTCACTTTAAAATTTAATTCGGGATAAATTTAAGATAAATTCGAGATCTGTGCAAATTAAAGCTGTGCAAATTAGTTATACTTAAGAGCAAACGATAGAAAATGTATGTAGTATTGAAATATGGTACTTTTACCCGCCAATAGAAGGCGTACTCGATATATATTAATAGTGTAAATATCAATAGATTCTTTACTTATTGCAAGTCATTTTTTAACAAAAGTGGTTTTTAAAAAATTATTTTTTCTTTAATTACAAGATAATAATATTCTTAAAAGATTAATAACAAACAATGTTCTATGAATAGTGGATGCTACTTCATACAGTACAAAACTCCAAAAAACATCCTAAAGATTTCCAAAAGACGTCTCGACATCCTAAGGATCGATGATCTCAAGATATCCTTCGGATAAAGTATGCTATGTAAAGACGGATTATCATATGTTAAATAAAATAGATTAGATAGATATAGTCCTTTTTCCATTAATTGGTCATCCACCTCTACAACCAACCAGACCCGATAAACTCGACACATTGTTTCCGCGCCTGGGGAGTCAAGCCGAAGGCGGAAAATTATTTTTAGACCGTCGGCTGTCGTTACCTAAGCTTTTTACATCATCGGGCCTCCGTCTGGGCAAAAGCGCGGATTCACGGGCGGCGCATGTATGCCGCTTAATTGGACGAGAGACCCGCGATTAGAGAGAGGATAAATGTCAAACGGTGCGTGCACCCATGACCACCGGGTTTCAAAGGATTAATTATGGGCGACGGAGACGGCGGAAAATCGCGGTTGTGTTTGCCGTCTGCAAAAATCACAACACTACCGCCACTACCGACACCGTCGTCGTTGTCATCGTCGTGATAACCAGCATGCATGAACGGACCAAGAATGATATATCGGGATGTGTAGAGAGGAGGAGATTGAGGAATTCTGAATCACCAGCGATTTGTCCGATACGATCGGCGTGGGCATAGTATCGAATGAAGGTACGGTGGTAAGAAACCTTAGTCGAGCCTGAGGGTTCCCTCATCAACACGAAAGTCGGAAGGTATGTGTACCGTCCACGTAGACGTGACTGTGAAGGTAGAAAGAGAGAGAGAGAGAGAGAGAAAGAGAGCTCTCTAAACACTATATCGATTTCGGTGGCGATGCGGTTACACGTCGTCCGTGACTAAACATGAATGGCGGGTGCACGTTCGTGCTTCCCGTTCGCGTGAAGCCGGATTTCCATACCGTTGTGTGTCCAGGTAAGCCAGAGGATTACTCGTTTTTATTTTGTTCAGCCGCGTATGACTGGTAGACATGCTACTTGCGACAGTTAAATTCATAAATTCTTAGTAAGAGAGGAAATATATAAAATAGAATATTAATAAAAGAATTAAATATAATAAAATATTAATATTAATAAAAGAATTAAGCTATTAATATAGATGCGATATAAAGTAATTTCAGAAAGTTCAAGTACTATATAAGATATGCGTGATATAAATACATGGGACGTAATCACGTAAATAAATTTTATTACTCTTTGTAATCCTACGATGTCTACAATCTAAGTTTTTTTTTTAGCACAAGTAAAATTTCATTCTTTTTCTCCAAAATAAAGGAGGATGGAGTCCAATTCTCCTCCCCCCTCCTACTAAAATACTTCGTAATAATTTGATAATTGAGATGTTGAAAAGTAACTCTGAATTTTTTCACATTTTTTAAAAGCACAGAATAGTAAAAAAAACTTGGATTAATAAAAAAAGACTTAGATTGCAGACGGAAGGTTAAGATTAGCCTGTGTAATAGAAGCGGTTCCACCAATCAAACACGATTGATTATAATGAAGATAAGCAATTGTTCCTTTCTTATATACTCAGAATTGTGATAGACAACTTAATGCGAATGGCGTGAGCGAAAAGAATTCATAGCGTGTTCACCGATATTAAAGTCAATCATCCATTTCGAGAAATGTAGAATGAGCTATACACTTTCCTTCCTAGGAAAGTGTATAACTCATTCTTTACAAGAGAGAGAAGAATTAATGCTTGGATAGCCTTTCATGATTGTTATCATGATAGTTATCGATTCATATAGCGGATACTTGCACGTGTCCAAATAGCAAGGTCTTTCGGGATTAGAAATGTTTTTACTTATAGTGATTTAATTAAATTAGAATACGAAATTATCAAATGCGTTCCTTTCAAAGCATATTTACAATTTTCAAGTATATTCACAATTTAAACGAATTCATCGCCAATTTAAAAAAAAAGATGTATTTACTTCTAAGCATAAGAAAAAAAAACAGATAGATTATATATTTTTTAGAATAGATCGTCAGGATATTAAAATTATTTTGGCATATATTTGCACAGAAAGAACGGTTGTGTTAAAATATCTAAAACTTTAGCCAAATACAGATTTCAGAATAATTTTATTAAATCAAAATAATTACTAATAAGTACTAGGAATCTCAAATATAATGAGCGATGTTTGCAAACAATTTTGACATTCTAGCTTGAGAGGCCTATACATTGTTTTGATTGCTGCAACAACGTTATTTTCAGATCTGTATCTAGCTAAATTTTTAGATGTTTTAGCAAGATTATTCTTTCAATTATTAATCGTGTATCAATCATTATTTAACATACAATATTATTCACCGATATTCTTTCCTCTCTCTCTCTCTTTCCTACAAAAAGTGGGGATATTCTTAAAACTGAATATTCTCGTCACTATACTATAAAACGCAATACAGGACCACAAGAAGGTCATGAAGAATTTATGCATTTCCTTCACGACGCACGAAAAAGAAAATCAAGAGTAGAGCCAACGCCTTGACGACCCTTCGTAAGTTTTATCGACTCACGACTTTATCCATGTACGTGTTACGTGAACCGAGAATCTTTTCGAATAACTGTAGAGATGACGATCTAACGAAACACATCGTGACACTCAATAAAGTTTGAAAACACCAAGAGATTAGGCATTTCCACTAATATTTACATTCGTCTTTGAGGTGTCCCGCGATACTGATCGGAATCTTCATCAAATCGAATGAAACTCCTCACAAATATGTTAGAGAGAAGATCACAGAGATTTCACGTCGTTTCTTCATATATAGGAGCGCGGACGGAGAAGCGACGCGAGGTGAGCCAACGCCTTCGTATTTAGCCTCGTGATCGTTATCGACTCGCAGAGCCTGATACCTGGGACGTGTTCTTAGGCAGAGATCCTTCCGGAACGAGACGACAATGTCAGCGACGAGGAATTATATTTTACGTCCAGCGATATCCGGTTCTCCTTCTTGAGGGTGGAGGCTGCTCGCGGCTGCCGCGGCAACGCCTCTTCTGTCACGTCAACGTTAGGTACGAGAAGTAAATAGGTAGATATGCGAAGAGAGAAAGAGAAAGAGAGAGAGAGAGAGAAAGAAAGAGATAGCGAGAGAGAACGGGTCACGGTTAGAGGTACACGTCGCTCCCTCGTCGCGAAGCGGTCACGGGGAGACGCGGAAAGCGGAAGCGGGAGCGGACAGAGAGGTGCGACTCCGCCTAGTCGCGCGCGCGAGAGGCACCTCACCCTGGGTAAACACACTGCGGGATGCACCACTACCACCACCACTACCATCACCACCAACGGCACCACTACCCACCACCACTACTAGAGCGGCACCGGTGTACGTACGATCAACGCCCCGCCACCCACCACCTTACCGAAGAGAGAGAACGTCTCTCCTGTATTTCCTGCCTCCGTCGTATTTCCGTCTGGTTCCTTTCTTTCGACGTCTCTAATTGTCTATCTATCTATCTATCTATTTCTCTTTTTGCATTCTTCTCTTTTGTCTTTCTCTCTCTCTCTCTCTCTCTCTCGCTCGCTCGCTCTCTCTCTCTTTCTTCCTCTCACTCTTCATCTTTCTATTTATCTACTACATCTTTATCCTTTACCTGTATGCGCGACGATGACTCACACTCACCCACACGGCGACGCTTCCTACCTGAACACCCGGTTGAACAGATCGGCCGCTTCCGAGAGAAGAGCTCTGGCCTGGTCACGAGCTAGAGTTCTTTTGCGATGACACACTACCACCGCGACGAGGAAAGACAAACGGAGAACAGTTCAGAGAGGGATGCTGAAAGCGCCGTGCGCGACAATCGGAGAGAAGGTCGTGGGCGGCGGCGGCGACGACGACGGCGACGACGGGGTACGGGGACAGCGGGGTCGGGGTTACGTGGCCCCCGCGGTAGCCTGAAGGAAGGGGAGAGACGGTCCGAAGGAGAAACTGGGATGAGGACGGTATCCACCCTATTTTCAGAGGGAGAGGGAAAGAAAGAGGGTAAGAAATAGGGAGACAGATATAGAGAGAGAGGAACGATTGTCGCGAAACCCACCGGGACAAGACGCGACGTACGATCCGAGAATACTACCCGGGTGCCGCTCCCGAAGGTACCCCTGTCACAGTCGTTGTCGCTGTAGTCGCTACTGCTGCTGCCGCTACCTCGTCGCTCGCCAACTCGTTCTCCCCCTCGGCTGCCGTGGCTGGCCTCACCGACGGGCCTCACCGTGCGATCACGCTTCCGGTCTTTCGCGGGAAATCCTCGCAGACGACGTAGCCATGGATACTGCAGGATCCGGCAGGGAGAGGCGACTGCCCCGTCGCGCGCGCACCCCCGTTCACCACCCGCCTGTCCCCGCTGCGCGCCACCACCCTCAGCGCCAACCCCTCCTGCCTCCGCTGCGATGCGCGCCCCACGGCCGAAAATGTCAATATCCTCTCTTGCGCTGCGCCCGCGATGTCTCCCCTCCTCGCGCGACCACCCACCCTCGTCAAGCCACGATGTGCCGCGCCGGTGCGCCCCACTACACTACGCGCCCTCCGTATGCCGCTCCCGTCGTCCTCATCTCCTACCAACTCCCTTTTCACTCCATCTCGATCCGTTTCCTCTTTCTCTCCGTTTCTCCTTCATCGTAGTACCCCTCAGCGTCTCTTTCTCTCTCTCTCTCTCTCTCTCTCCCCCTCTCTCTTTTTCTCGTCGCCAACACCACCCTTTACCGACTCAGGGATGAAACCGTAATCGAGGGAACCCTTAAGGTGTTGTTATACAGAAAGAAACTTAATAACAGGAATAACTTCGGGAATGAGAAAATATCTCGCCGTATATAAACGTTCATTAGTAATTTGAGATATACTTTGATTTATGAAGGTTTATATTGCGAGAATTCCCCTGTTTCGTGCGCATCCCCCGGCTTAAGCACGATCCTGCGACTCGCGCCCTTTCGCATCGCCGCTTTCGCCGCTCGCTCGCTCTGTTTCCCTTCGCCGTCGAGATCTCGTAACCGTTTTCCGTTTTTTTCCCTCGGGGCGAGAAACGGGTCATGGCGAAAGGATGATCTCTCCTAGGGACTTGTTCTTTTCCTATCTTACTCATGAAAATATACTTTAGTTATCTTTTTTTTAGTTACCTTTCCATTCTAATAAACGCGCATGGATCTCTATCGATCGATCCCACGTTTTCGGCTTACGTGAGGTCTACAGTAGAAGTCGTAGCGGTCGTAGAGTCTTAAGTCGTAGAAAATTGACCAATCATAGTCGATTATTCTTTTTATATTCGATTGTGAGTGATTAATTTTTGACGACTTAATCCAAGCAGAACAACAATACACGATAACGTCAAAACGTCATGACATTAAAATGAATCGGAAATGATTGAAAAATGACTTTTAATGATCATGAAGTTATAATGACTTATTGTTCTGCTTGGGAAGACTCTACGACCGCTACGACTTCTATTATAGACCCCGCGTTATCGTGTAACCGCAGGGAATGAGATCGGCGTTTCCATCCTCATCCTCGTAGCTGTCAAGCCGACGCTTGACGAGTAATCATAGCGATCGGCGATCGATGCGAGGCACGCGCGCATCAGCTATCCGGAGAGAATCCTCTTGTATCCACAGAATCATCCCGCAATTTTACTTCGCCGTCTAATCGTCTAATGCCAGTGCAATCTCACGTGCGAACGCATCTGCTGCTTTTTCCATTACGACGAATGAAGATGTCTATAACTATATAATAACGTTTAGTAATAATTTAATTTGCATTTTGTGTACAAAGAACCGAATTGAATATTTATTAGAATTGTATTCTAATAAATATTGCTATAATTTTGCTTTCTTTCTTACTATCTAATTTTTCTTTTTTTCATTCTTCACTTGATGATCACAATAAGCAAGGAGTAGCAATGAGAGTATCTGTAGTAAAAGTGCATCACGTCTGACCAGAAACGTACCTTTTCCACTTGCAGATCAACTTGAAGTTTCTCAACTTGGGAACGATTCCTATAAGAAACTTTTTATTTAGAAACTACAAAATGTGGAGTTATTTTAAATCATATAAACTAAACATAAATATAAATAACTATAAATTATATAAACTTTAAATAAATTTGCCAATATCGTTATGTATTTATATTGGAAATTGTGAAGAAAAATTTCTGAAATTATGATTATTGATTTCAAAGCGACAGGCGTTCGTTAACATCGATGCAATAATATATTGATTTTCATTTGCTGATTTATTCTATGTTACAACGCTGTTCCATTTGTGATAATAAGATTTTCTATCGTTATTCTATTTCAAGAAAATGAACAGAGAACATTATATGTGTAAGATTTTTGCAAGAAAGGAATCATAAGAGAAGCGAATCATATAGAAAATCCTTCTTCAGGGTGTCCAGCGATATCTGACAAATAAAATCTAATCAATTTAAACATAATTTCAGGATATTTCAAGAAAACATTTTGGTTTTTCTAGGTCGAATAATTTTCATTAATTAATCAATTTTTATTGATTCGTACATTATAATATATATATTTTGTATTTAAGTTAGAATTCTATACGACTAATTAATTAAAAGGCAAACAAATTTTGAACAATATTATTTAATGATTTATAAGTAATAAACACTTAATGCATAAACGACTGCAATTTCTTTGCGATATTCTATTTTAGAATTGCAGATATTAAATCTAAGTTTTTTTATTAGTAACTTGCCTTATTACATTTTTGAGGGAGGGCTTATATACTCAAACACAATTTTTCTTAACTTATCACAATTAAATATCACCTTGTAAAATTATTAATTTGTCGACGCTTCATTAAATTTTTAATGTTCATTATCAACTTTTAAAGCTTTCTAAAATCATCATAAAACTCATCCTTACTGACTAATTAATTCTTGCGCACGCACAGAAAATATTATATATATATATTTTTTTCTCTTTTCATGATCCAATTTTGTTTTAATGAAAAAATTACAAAGTTTTAGGTCACTGAAATTCTAGGAATTTTTCAGGATTTTTCAGGATACAATAAAATCCAGGACGATTCCAGAATTTAAGGACATTCAAGAATCGTTGGATATCTTATTCTCTTCTTTTCCTGTTAAAAGATACTCGCTAATCTGTACTTGAAGGCGATTTCGACCAATAACGAAAAGTTATAAATCCTGAAAGACACTATATCCAAGAATACCATGGATGATATTCGTTTCTTTATGCTAATGTCAGAAATATCGAGAGATGCTCTCAGAATATATGGCAGTCGAGTTGTGAAACTTTTGAAGACTATAACTGCATAAAACACCGAAAACACTTCATCGATTTAAAAAAATTTTTTTACATTCTACAGGCAACAGCCTTACATTCTATAGTGCAACAAAATTTCCTTCTCTTCCTTTTTCTTCTTCTTCTTCTTTCATTAATGGCTCTTCCACGAGCGTTTTGGACACATATGTCCAGTGTCCTGTATGAAAACTTCTTCTTATTTAACATTACAATTCTGAAATTTTATCTCTGATATTTATACGCAAATAACGGCATCTCGACTGTGAGTCAATCACAGTCATCTTTGCATCTGTATGCCAATTCCATTTCTCAAGAGATCGGCAAAATAGTAAATACTGAGAGAAGAATTTTAATTTAAAAAATTTATTTATTTAGTTTTTCAATACATTAACCATCTTTCTAATAGGATGCCAGATCGAGCAACAAATTATGAAATCGATTATCAATTTAATTTGTAATATTATTACAGTAGTTTGACTGTGTTTATAAGTTTGAAAAAAATCTCTTTATATTAGGAATCGAATCCAATCATTTTTAGTCGATAGAATGTTGATCGATTACTTCATTTTCTAAGCGACTTTTTTGGGGGGCTCGTTTGTGAAGCCAGTTCTTCTTATATAGGTTGCAAACCAATTATCTGTTGCAGCATCTTCAATTAAGATATTGCATTTCGAAGTAACGTTTTAATTTTAGATACTTCAATAGATCTACGATCAAGTTTTGCAATCAATATATAATAGAACTGGCTTAACTTAAGTCCATTTGCATACGCTTCTTTATAGGGATCCGCGTCATTTTTTCTTTACGGAAAACGAATCCATCTCGCGGTGATATTGCGTTCTACACCGCTTATTTAGCAGAATACGTACGCTATAAGTGTACGTTGGTGTACCTAATCAGAAATGATAATAGAATCGACATCGAATCGACGTCGATTTGATGCTTCGACATCGATTCGATATCAATCCATTATCATTTCTGAGTATTATGGGCGCCGCTAAGCAAGCAGTATAATACGCAGTACAACTGCGAGATGGACTCGTTTTCCGTAAGAAGAAAATGACGCAGATTCTTATAAAGAAGTGTATGCAAAGAGACTTAAGTTAGTCGATTCTATATTGATCGCAAACTTCATCGTAAATTTATTGTAAACGATAAAGATTACAGCGTTGATTTCGAAATGCAACCTTCAATTTTTATAGATGATACAACAGATTTGTGATTATATAAGAATC